GGAAGTGTTAGACAATCTCCCCCACGACAAGGTCCGGGGCAAAACACGTAAGAAACTCGAACAGGCCGAAGTTCATTGGGATGAATCATCCACCAACAGACAACAATCTATGCTTCCCAAAGAAGTCTTTGTTCCCTTGACCGATCCGTTACTTCAAACGGTAGTCAGCAAGGTACCGTCGTTCGTATCAACGTATCCACGGTGGGTACCTTCGGTCGCATGTGGCGTCTTGCGACATCTACTCCACCAACGACCCCATATCGCCATGGCAATGGCCGATTTTGATTGGTTACCACAACCAGATCTTCCTACAAATCCACAAGGAACAACAACAACAACAACAACAACAACAACTGTGTTGCAACATGTATCGGAACCGGCCGAGGGAGAACCGATCGTCACAGACATGTCTGGTCAAGATCACGAATGCTACCTGACGGCACCGAACCATTGCGATATTCTATTCCCAACGGATTTTGAAAGATTGAAACTGTTTGTGACGAAATGTTTGTCCCGGTACCAATCACAACACCTACAAGTACAAATCCAAAAACAATCGGAATTCTTGCAACAATGGGGTCCCGACGAAGTTATCAAGACTCAAAGTTGGACAGGACACAATCCTCTTTTACATGATGTAAGTGTGAAAAACAAACACAACAACCAACCAAACAACAACAACAACCAAAACTATATAGAATCTTGATGACTCAAAAGGAGTCACCTACCTCATCGTTGTTCTCACTCACTCACTCACTCACTCACTCGCTCACTCAACTCGTTTTCCTTTGTTTTGTTTTTGTGGTTGCTTTTGTGCAGTTTGTGAATTGTTCCGTACTGACCATTACCTTCCAAACAAAGGATAGGGATGGACAAGATGCTACATAGTAGCTCCATAGAGAATATACTTAACTTTTGCTAGCTAGCTAGCTACCTAGCTACCACTTATCATAGAACAGTCACTTTTTTACCAGCGTTTTGTTTCCTAGATGTACTTTTCCATTGTACGATCCTGAAGCCTGATTGTCGATGGCTGATACTGTTTATATCTGAGTGCACTATCTTTCCACATCCCTGCTTCCAGCGACTGCAACAGCACCTTGCAAATCGGGAAAATCAAAACGTTGTGGTGTACCTTTGGTCGGTACGACGGTCAGAACTTTCTCCATCCACCATGTGTTTGTCCGTATCGTCCACATTTAAAGAGAAACCTTTTTTGAGTTCAAAGGGGATATCTGTTGCTACAACAGCAAGGAACAAATCTCTATTAAAGGTTAAATGGACATTCGATTGTCTTGCCCTTGACCAGCTCGTCCAGTCCCTCTCCCCCGTAACTGGTCAAAGGAGAAATTTCACAGATTCCACTGTCCCTGTTTCCAGTGAGTGTTCCACCGGCAGCAATCACCCACTTTTGAGCCTGTTGAGAGAGATGTTGTCGTGCTGTATCGGGACTATCCGTATCGGATCCCGGTGCATTCTTGACGGGAGAGAACTCTTCGTCTCGTTCGGTATCCAAAATGGCCATGCGTTCCGCGAACGGGAAAATATCAAAAATGAACGATTCCAATTTGATCCCGTTATTGGTTTCGGGCGTGACGGTTTGTCGGGTACTTTCATCCCAATAGGGAATCTTTTTGCGGGCGATATGGTACAAAGTGCCCAAATTGGGCATGACCTTGTCACGCAAAAAATCGATCGTGTAAAAGTGATTGCAAATGTTTCCAGCACCAAAGACCAACCGTCCCTGATCGTCGACCCGTTCGGCCATTTCGGTGGAGATTTCGGAATATTCCACGACACACGGTGTCCCATCTTTTTCGGCGATAACTCCAACTTTTTCGTGTGGTCCGACCTTCCAAACGACCTTGTTGCCACAATCGGCATTCTGTTGGATGCAGTATCCTACAAAGGTCGGATCGGCAATTTTCGTCAAGGCATTGTCGATACTGAAGACGTGTAGATAGTGGATACCCCGTTGGATCATGTCATCCATCATACCCGATTGTTGTAGGGACGGATATATTCCACCATTGCCATCTGGGGCCATGGCAACAGTGCTCGGCGTTTCCATAATGATTTTCCCATCATCTTCTGTCAAGCATGGCAACATGCCTTGTTGAAAAAATAAGACATCGTCTTTGGACAATCCGAAATACTCGTGTTGTTGAAAGTAATCGACCGTCTCTTGATGATTGATGGGAGATGTCATAATGTAAAAGGGAATGGAAGCGTCGGATGTCAAACATTTGAGTTTGCACAGCCGTTCGGACAGTAATTGAAAGAGAGTCTTTCCACTGGGTAGACCTATATCGTAACATCCTTTGGGTCCATCGAATCCCAATCTCGTTCCTTGCCCACCTGCCAAGACCAGAGCTGCCACTTGTCCTTGTGAAAGTGCCTCGATACCCCTTGAATAGGCCGATTGGACGACATTGGGGTCTGTTGTCCGACCTACGTGTTTGGAAAAAGGCGTAATGGTCTGTGTATGATCGTTACTGAGAGAATCTGTTCTGGCTGCCTCCAATAAACTGGCTAACTTTTCTACTTGAATGTCATGTAACTGTTGGAGGAGGACATCTTTTTCGTTGGACGACAATTCCTCGAAATATCGAAAAACATGTCCTTGACCGGCAGCTTCGTATCGAGCTCGGATTTTTGCTTCGTCCAAAGATGTCATACTGTAACTGTCGCTGTCCGATTCCTTTTTCGTCCAAGAGATTTTGTTCAGGTTCAGCTGTTCGTAGTGTAGGACAATGATGAGTAAAAGATCTTTTGTGTGTATTGTCGTATTGTGATGATCGAATCTTTGGATCCGGCAGGTGATCCAACTACTATAGAGACGGCACTCTAGCTGGTAGCTACTCGGAGTAGTAGTTTGGATTATCGCGGAATCTTTGGATGTGGGGTGAATGGTGCTGTAAGGTTGAAGATTCAAGAGGTCATTATTTCGAGCTCTTCACGAGTTCTCACGGAGTCGAAACGTCCAGGCCTCGTCGACATATGCCCTGTAAAAGCGTCAATCCGATTAGGCCCGTTGATATTAAAGAGATGAATTATGATCAATAAAGCACTACAATGAACATCTCTTGAAATACGTGCAATGACTTCGCTTCTCGGAGACGACAACGCAGCCACCGACGCATCTCGGGAAGATCACCGAGAATGCACGCCGTCACAGAAAAACCAACACCACAAACTTCCTCACAATTTCTTGATCGGCACCGAAAAAAATTCGTTTTTCCAACTCCGCTCAACTCTTCTCCTCACCTCTTTTTGGTTCCTTCTGTTCACTCCACTGAATCCATAGCAAATAAGATTGCAGAAGTACTAGTACTTTCTACATAATCACCATGTCCCCGATCGTTCAACATTACGTCTTTGGCTATGGCTCGTTGATATGTGCCCAATCACGAGCGATATCGGCACCGACATTGGCAACACGGACTGCACTTCCCGTCCGTATTCACAATGTGGTACGGACTTGGAACAAACGCTCTCCCAAGACGGGAGCAACTTATCTTGGCGTTCAAGTGACGGCAACTCCCTCTAAACCCACCTTTGTTACATCGAACAACAACAAGAAGGAAGGATGTGTGGGCGTATTAATTCCCATGGACTCATCTTCTATAGAAAACACACTCGAAGAATTGGAAGCGTTGGATGAACGAGAGGTCGGATATGATCGCAAGTTTGTTCCGTTGGATTGGATTGATCGAGTTGATGATCTGTTGGATAACAAGAACCAAGAAGATTTGTACAAGGGGACCTTTTTAGATAACAACCCTGCTATCAACACTACGAATTCTGCTGTATGGATGTACGTGCCACAAGTCTCCCAACCAGCAACGATGGAGTATCCCATTCCACAATCCTATGTCGACGTTTGTTTACGTGGGTGTTTGTCGATATCCGAGTCATTCATGCAAGAATTCATTACCTCAACAGTGGGATGGAATCCACAGGAACTGGTCGATCTAGAAAAGGCATCCCAACAACCAATCCAGTACGAGTACGAAGAGGACGAGGAGAATAATGATGATGACGACGAAAACACCATGTCCGAATCCTCCTCCTCCTCCTACACTCCATCCATGATGAGAGGTTCCCATACCCGCAGCAACTCTGAATTCAGCAGTTTATCCTCTGTCATGGACTGGGATGATGTTGTAGAAAATGACGATACTGACAACAAACAAAAACAACAACAAAAAGGAAACCAACCCATTATTCTTTCACCGGACGCATGGATTAATGATCGGAAAGATCCAGTGTACATGCGGGCCGATCGTGCCTTTTCCTTGGAAAATGCCACAGTCATTGACGACTTGATAGTAGCTGCCATGACCAAGAATGCCAATAATGTTATGAACAACAACACCAAGAATGATTCGATTCCTACCCACAATAAGACGGGGTTATGGAACAAATGGCGGGTATCACGGGGAAAGAAGGAATTACATACCATTCGAAGAAGAAACCAAGATGGAATCAAATCACAGTAACCACCACCAAACAGGAAACGCGGAGTATAAAACAGTAGTATCATTGATTTTCACTCGAATCATGTACTAGTTCTGTGATGTTGGAAATCTCCAAGAGTAATAGGTGATTTACGTACTTGCGATAGCTGCAACAAGCACAGGAAATGAAGCAAACCGTTTCCCTAACTCTACTGTAGTACTGCATTTCAAATTGGACACTCTTCCTCCGATATAACGCAGCATCAGTTTGACTTTCCCCACCAAAAAAACACTATGTCCGACCTTTCCTACTGAATACTGAATCACATCCGAGGTCATGATTACCACTGCCATTAGCTACGTACTGCTTCGAGGTAGTTTTAAGTACTCGTCGTAGCAGACAGATGCTGCCGAACAATAAACCACTAACTACTTGGAAGTTCGAGTGGAACTTACAGTTAACTCGGAGTAGTTACTCCTGAAAGATACAGAATAGATTTGAAATGGTAAAATTTTCACCTCGTGTAATTACACTAAGAGGATCGATTAGCTCAGTTGGTAGAGCTTCGGATTCCAGACCCGAGGGTCAGGTGTTCAAGTCACCTATCGATCATATGACAAACTTTTTTTAAATACTAGTCGTATGCTTACAGCTACCGTCACTCCACGATGATTTGCGGTTTGCAAACGTGGCTTGCGACTTGCGACTGGGATGAGCCACTACAAGCTAGAGAGGTAGATACCGGTATCCCAATACTCTACAATTCTGTTATTACAGTTATTACTTACTTCGAAGTACAGTTACCCACCCTCTATGGCACGATGTTTGTGTTTTGCGGTTTGCAAATTTTGAGAGTGCACCAGCAGCTGTCAAAGAGTCAAAGATACCAATACTCTACTACGACGTGTACAACAAAATCGCTCTCTTGACAGTAATAACTGCAAATGTCCTCCTACTCCTGGAATTGGTACTGCGAGAGGATGGGGAATGAGGAAACAGAATCTTCCAGTGAACGAAGTTTGTAATTTTTTTCACAAACAAATAGTATTGATATCAATCACGATGGTCTCCCTCCCCTCCAAGAACTCCAGATGCCGCCCTCGCAGTGTAAATAACACCACGGTTCAGTGTGAAATATTACACTTCTACCTAGCTACGTCGTAGTCAAGTACTAAAGGATTCTACTTCAACGACAGTTAAAACTTACAACATTGAGGCAAGAAGTGTTGGGATTGGATTATTATTTTTTAACAAATCATTATTGGAATAAAGTGTGTGGTTGGTTCAAACTGCTTGATCTACTTGCAGTAAAATTTCTGGTTGGAAGAATCCATCACTGTCAATCGACGGTTCCATGGAAAGATCGGGAGGTCCAGTGATCTTGCCAGATAACCTCAAATCGAGCTCTTCTTCGAGTCCTGCAACCATCACCGTTAGGACGGTTCGAGCGTTGTAGGCACCGACTTGTCCGGGACGTCGCAGTTCGTTGATAACTCCCATGGTCAAGGAAATGGCAAGGACGATGATACCCAAATACCACGATTGGACTTGTAATATTCCATATCCTCCGATGGTTTGGACACCGGCACCCAACAATGGAAAGGTAAACAAGACGATGGCCGCCAACGTCCACAACAAGATCATCTGTAACTGTGGCAATTTACGTTGTAATGCCCCCAATCGTGCCGCCCGTGCTTGTCGCAAACTCCGTACCGTCTGATAGACCAAACTGGGTTCTCCGACGGACGTCAAATATAAGACTTCTTCCAGAGGATCGTCACATGGACGTGACGCAATCATTTCGGCCGGTTCGATATCATTGAATTTCGTCAAATCGTATCGTACGTAATCTTGAATACACGTCAGTATTTGTTCGTACAGTAGTTGTCGTCCCTGTGATACCAATGCGACTTGTTCCAAAAGAGATTTGGCCATGGTGACTTCTTCAAACAATGCCAAGTAAATGGCTTCTTGTTGCTGGCAATGTTGAATATAAATACGAACATGTATAGCATAATACACTGTGTGAGTGACAACAAACAGAAGAAGCGATGTACTACATTTCAAAAGGAGAATTTCTCTGGGACGACTCCTTATGTTGTTGTTGTTGTTGTATTGGGCTCACCTGATACATGAAGTAGTAGGTCTGTCCGACCAAGATGGAAAACATCAATCCACTGGTCGTTAATATGTTTTGAATGTATTGACTGGCATCTTGTGCAACGACGGCGAATACACCCGAATCATTAATGGTGTTGGCCAACTGGATGGCCACGGGCGTATAACTGATCTTGGCAGACGCTGCCAAGAATAGAGAGGGCAATCCGACCCGTAACAGACTGATCGTACTGGTGTACGCGTTGGTACGTCGCAAGTCGTCAATGTCATCCGCCGCAATGACTCGGTCGGTAGCGGACTCGTCAAAGAATACTTTTGCGATACGTTCGTAAATGGACTCCTCGGGACTTTCTACCATTGGTACAGATGATCTTGTTGTTGATTCTTGCTGTTGTTGTTGCTGTCGTTTGGATGTTGACGTTGCGAAACGACGAGTGGTGGAGGGGAAAGAAGAAGAAGAAGAATGAATTCTAGACCTACTCGGAGTAGGAAATACTGTTAGAGAGAATGCTTGTACAGATTGGACTGAAGTGGAGAGTAGACATCCAAGCAGCAACAATGCCGCTGCCGATCGTGATGATCGTATCCTTGTAGTAATAGAAGTTGTTGTTGTCCTCATCATCATTGTTGGATGTGTTTTGTTGTATTCTGTACTTCTGAGTTCACCAGTTCGACAGGATCTTATAAGAGACCCGTAAGTATTATGTAGGCTTGGAAGTGAATGAAGGTCCTTGACTTGACCATTGACTTGTGAAGAGACAACGAAACAACAAAATGAAGCCGATGCATGTCGAGAGATGATGGATACGGGTCGTTCGATTCTGACGTCACTTGCTGCTTGATACGAAGGTACCGTAGTACGTTTGAACGTACTTGGAGTACGTACGTTAGACCCTACGTAAATAGTAGTAACTGCAACGTATAGCTCTACCGTGGCTCGACTATTGATTGTTAGTTTTATGAAATAGTCCTAGGTCATCCGATCACCATCACATTGTTTGATTGATATTATATCTGATAAAACAACACAATATGCTACCACTCTTTTCCAAACTAATCGGGGTATAGTATGCTCATTTAGAAATTGGAGTGCTAAACTCTTCCAGCACAAAATCTGGAACTTTGCTACGACGCATCCTTCGCCTTCCAAAATAACACACCAAATGTCAATTGATTATTTTCTCGTCTTTACTACTCTATATAATTTAATCGTACAGTCAGTCTACTGAAGACAAGCCGAGTGGTGTAACTCTCAACACTTACTTTTGTTTCCGATATGTGCCCGTCCATGGTGGTTCTTTGTGCTGCTTCAAAAAAGAAGAAACAATCTTGTTGTATTTGGAATTGTGGGAAATGTACAGTACGAATTGATGGCGTCTTTCTCTCCCTCCCCCCTCCCCCTCCCTTGCTTGTTTTGCAGAAAATTTCTAGCCGATTGTCATGCTGTTATCTGTTACGGTATAGTATTACAAGTACGAACAGAGAAAGAAGCAAGAGTTTGGGAGAAGTCAACAGTTTGGAAATGGACAACAACAAAACATGCTGTCGTCGAGCCAAGCTTCTTCGATGCGACTCTTGAACATTATACTTTTTGACGTTGGTATCAAGGGACTGTCCCTTGGATTTCTTGTTGCGTTTTCGTTTTGTATCAAACGTCGTGTCCATTTCACTTTGCTCCTTGTTGTGGTTTTCATGAATTTTATTCGACGATAAATTTTGCTTATCGTCGTTGTCGACATCGTCGTCCATGAGAATGGATTCCGATGGTACATTGTCTGCATCCCGTATATCGTTCGTCGCAGCAGTGGCAGCAACAACAACAACATTCTCTTGGTTATTTTCTTCTTCGTCTTCTTCCTCGTCGATACTGAGGATACCTTCCTGCAATAGTTTGGCATGGCTAACCACAATTTTGGTATCTCCAGCGTACCAGTGTGCACGAAACGTCCTACTGTTCCGTGCAAACTCCTCCATCTGATCCAACGAACTGGTCATTCCTCCGATTTCCATCGGTGGTTGGAGCATATGCAGTCGCAAAGCGTTGACAAGACCAAAAATCGTCCACTTGGCGGTCCAACTTTCCGGATGGTACGAACTTGCCGAAAGACAAATATCGACACCGGGTTGGAACCGTCCCGATGGTGTCCACAGCTGTACCTTGGGTGGACTCAACGGATAATCCTTCGGTAGGACGATCCGTCCGTGATAAATTCCCTTTCCAAAAATGTGACCCGCACCACGAAAACTGAAATGCCAATGTCTCAAGTTACTCGTTAACGGACCCAAACAAAACATTTGGGAAATACTGTGATCTTCTCCAACAGAAGATGCCATTGCTGCTGCTGCTTCTTCTTCTTTTGATTGTGTTGATGATGTTGTTGTTGTTGACGATGTTGATTTGTTCTTGTTCTTTTTTTTCTTGGATGGCAAAATTCGTTTCTGATTGACCCAATCATACGCTATCCCCATTGCAACGGCATCTTTGTATTCCTTCCGTATTCTATGTAAGGAAGAAGACGCCTGCGATGACATGATGGGAGTACTACCGCCAACGGGAGATTTGTTGTTGTTGCCACTCCTACCACTGTTGTTGTTACTGTTGTTGTTGTTGCTGCTGCTGCTGCTACTACGTTTAGACACAACTCCATCCATGCGCGTCATCCATAGAACGAATAACATTATTGTCCAGGGTATTGGAAATACTCGTTTTGGTCGTTTTGAAGAGAAAATCATCATCACTTCGTATTTCTGTAGACCTAATCGTACGTGAAAATGGAAATGGTGGTGGTGGTGGTGTGGTTTGTCACCCAATCGTATTGTATTTCGTATCGTCCCTTGTATCGTTCGTTGGTGGTGTATAATGTTACAAGATGTTTTTGTAAGAAGATAGACGGACGAAAGAGGTAATAATTCGTCTTGATGAAGGACTCATCAGCGTGTGAACGACAGAGAAGAGGGTGATGATGAGAAAAAAATGTATGAAACTCTCGTTGACGAAAAGATGATGATGATGATCGACTGCTTTTATGGATGACGTCACAATGAGTGCTACTACCAGCTACCTCTACCGTAGCTAGTAGTCGTACGTACGATGACAACTACCGTGCTACTCACTGTCACTACGACTGCCGAACTGTGAAGTCGTAGCTATCTACCGGTACCTACTAGGTACTCAGAGTAGTACGAGTAGACTACTGCTATGGTTTGTAAATCTATCTAACCAACGCAGGCAGTAGTAACACCATGAACCACCACCATACCTCTACTACTAGCTCTCTAGTGAATAAGATCACATCTGATCTTTCATTCGACCAGATGGAATATTTTTTCTGTCACAGTTGTTCTTTACTAGTAGTACACTAAAAATCAGTCTCTAGCTAGGAGTCGGTACTACTGTAGCAGGGGCCTCGTGCACCACCGTCTGCTGGTGGTGGATTGGAAAAATGACATCCATGCAGTTTTCTCCATTCAAAGACGATTGGAAATCCAAGGGG